CATGCCATCTGGAGTAAAGAGGAGGAGGCTTCGGCCTCAGCCGCCCCATCCACCACCCTGCCTGCAGCTACCACAGGGAGGTCGATGCAGAACTGCAGAACCATCTGCCAAACTGAGAGCCATCTACAAACCCCAGAAGATCCACACTCTCCTTCTGTCAGTCCTTTGGAAACCAGGTGCTTAATCCTAGGGATCTCAGAAAGCTCTGGCTGTCTTGAACTAACATGTTCTAAGCCTTTAATCCCAACACTCAGGAAGCAGAGACAGGTGAATCTCTGAGTTCAAGGCTAACCTTGGCTACTTAGCAAGTTCCAGATCAGCTATGGTTACACAGTGAAACACAGTAAAACAAACAAACATGCTATTCAGACTGATAGGAGGGGCTAAAAATCCCACTGCCCAGCCAGCGAGCATGCCTCGGGCCTGGTTTGCCCTTCTCAGACTAACTGAACAATCCACACAGAGGATCCAGTTTAGCAGGCCAATGCTCTGAAAACCAACCCCCCCCCCCAATAAAACGTTGCCTGCTGATGTCATCCAACTTCAGATCACAAGATTTAGGATCCTTCATGCCTTGAGTTTGAGTCCCAGCAGGTCTGGAAGCTTCTGGAAGGCTTTGTACAGCCACCAGAGACAATTGGAGTGTTGTGGGAGGGACACCCTCACATCCTGCTGGGCCCAAGAGGACCAGCCCCCATTTTGGAGGGGAGGGGTTCCCAAGCCAGATTGTCTTTTTATTGATGGGAATCGCTGAGCAAAGAGGAGGTCGGGTGGCCACAGCAGGGGACAGCACAAATAAATACAGAAAACCCTCTCCAGGGCCTGCTATTGTGTTCGGAACAATGGCACACTCTGGAGAGCATTTTTATCCAGTTGAGAGTGGAAAGGAAAATAAATGTCATAGGACACCTCCCTCCTGTCTCTGACTAGCTCTGGTGCACCCTGACTTCTGTCACTGAAGAGGCTGGGCCTCAGATGGGGAGACGGGCAGTTAGGGTGCAGATCTCAACCTGGGGCTCAGAGGTTCTGGTCACCACTCAGCCACCCTGGGCTTTCACAGGCTGCCAGCCCCAGTCCCCACCCTTCCTTGTTGCTTCCTAGTCCACAATGGCCATATCCAGCAGAGCAGGGTGGTGGCCACACCCAGGCGAGGCTGTCTGGCTCTGGGAGGGGTGGGGGAAAGGAGCCCTGTCCAGCAGTGGGCAGGAGGGGCTGAGGAGGTTGGCAGCATTTTGTGTTTTTAGACTGTTGGAGAATTTTGTACATCTATTATGTTCTGATCAAATCTACTGCCATTCCCCCTACTCAAATCCATCTCCTACCTCCTCAGTACTTTCCCCTCACATATGCTGTTTTTCTTTTTCGTTTTTCTTAAGCCCTCTGAGGACACTTGGCTTTGCCTCTATGCACACAGGGTTAGGACCATCCACCTGAGCACGGTAGCCTCTTAGGACCCATCATGGCCAATAGCGCCTCAGATAGGGGCGGGACTTTTCGAGCACTTCCCTGTCTACGGTGGGCTTTTACCCGGCTTGATGTTGGGCAGGTCTTTCGAGCATAGACCTAGCTCCCATGGGTCCATGTCTACTAGCTTTCTTGAGCTGAGGAGATCTTCAAACATTGGCGCGAGCTGCTTGGAAGGGGGCCGTGCCACTGCAGCAGTCTTTCAGAAGCCGCCATCCCCAGGGCGCTCTTCCTTTGCATTCCTGACGGGAACGGCACTTCTGGAAGCCCCCCACTTGTGCAGTCTGCTGCCAGCCGGCACATCCGGGGGGCTGCCCAGAGGCAGAGCTTCAGACTGGAGAGGCTGGCCTGAAAGCCTAGGCATCCATGCCAGTCATCAAGTGATACCGATAAGACAGTCTTTCTGGGTCTGTTTCCTTCTCTAAATAAAGAGAGGGAGGATGAGAATCGGCCTAAGACCACAGCTCAGGGCTGGGTGCACCCTCAGTTTTTACTGCACAGCAGTCAGCCTGCTAGCCAAGCCAATGCCTGAGGTCTCACTTTGTATCACGCCGGGTCTTGCCCTGCTCTGAAGCGGGCATTATTCTTTTATAGAAATGGAAATTGAGGCTTTGCAGTTAAGCAAATCTTCATTGGCTATGCAGCCAATAATTGGTGGAGCCAGAACCGAAACCCAGGCAGCTGGGCTGTGCAGCTCACCTCACTCAGCTACACAATGCTTCCTGTTCTTATTACGTGAGTCACCAGGACTCTCAAAGTGGTACAGAATGAGGGCTGCTGTTCTTGATATGCGTAAGGGGTGCGGCCATGCTCTAATGATTGAATCTTCATGTATGGATGAGAGGGAGGAAAGAGCCTACCAGAAGGGAAAACTCTCACACGATCATTTATTGAAGGACTGAGCCTTCCCCATTGTGTATTTGGGATGACCCTCCAAGGCCACAGCCACCATCTTCAGGACTTCACCCCAATAGCTGAGCACACTGACTGTCCATATGCCTTCACAGAAGGAGGGGCACGGAGGTCTTGGGACCCTCCCCTGAGTCACCAGCCACTCCTATCAGCCAGTTAGTGCATTTTGCCCTAACTGCAGGTAGGCTCAGGAAGAGACTAGAGTATGTTGGTGGGAAGGACCATTTGGGGGGAGTGAGGGTGATCCCTCTGCATGGCCATGGAGGAGTCATCGTTCAAGCTGTGTGCAGACTTCCTCATGTGTGGCTGTTTCAAGGCCACCCACGATCTTCCCGTAACCAGCTCACTGCTCTATAAGCTTAATAAACTCATTGTTTTCCCAGAGTGAACTCGGGGGACTCACACCTCAGTTGGTCACTGGTACCTTAGAAGGAGGGGAAGACTTTGCATCTCCCCTAGGAAAAGATTTTAGCAATATCCACATCTGCCAGAGACCCCCGTCAGGGCCGTCTCTTCCCATGATGCTCTCCTGTTTTTGAGTGCCTTCACTTTTAACATACCTAGGGAGACTGAGACACGGAGAGCCTGTGGCTAGTTACTCCTTGTGAGTGTGCTAGGAGTGGCCCCACTTCTGAACACATCCCATCATAATCCTGACAGGATTCTCACCGCTTTGTCCATTCTGGAGATGAGCGAATTAGGCTGCTGGAGCCAGAATAACCGATAACAGCAATTTTCTGAAGTGTCAGTCATGGCTGCCCCATGGGCGTAGCGATGGGACTCATGCGCTATTGAAGGGAACTAGCCCTGAGATACTCCATGAGACACTGTCCCTGCCTAAGGACACAGACTTGAAAGAAAGCAACATGGGATCGGAGGGGACAGATGTGATTTGCCCAGCTCGGCTGCTTACTAGTTTGACATCTGAGCTCTGGCGTCCAACCTGTATGGTGAAGCTATGATGATCAGCCCCACAGGGCTGTTATGACAGTTCTGCTAACGGGAAGCTAGCCTGCCTAGCGTTCAGCAGAGAGCTCACTAGAGCTCAGCTACAAAGCAGATGCATGCAGAGCTAAGAGAACGAGGCAACTACTGCTAAGCACAGCCTACCAGGGCCAGTCAGTGTGCCAAGAACTGTAGGGTAGGCTGGCCATCAAGACAGGCTCGTGCCAAGGATGGAAACGTGGCATTGTCTTTCCTAAGACGGGCAGAGCCCATGGGAAGTGTACTCGGGTAACCTAAGAGTGGACGGGAAAGAAAATTTACAGAGTTAACTGTGGCCATGGCCGCCTCTGCCTGGCTGGCCACCTCCCTGAAGCAAAGCTGTTCCAGTGGGAACAACATGGTGTATCTGGAAGAGGAAAGGGTAGAAATCAGAGGCAGAGCATGGAAGGAGAGGGCGGTGGGCCTGCTGTAACCACAGCCTGTTTCACATCCTTCTCCGTGAAGTGAGCTGCACTGTGCGCTGCGTTCATCAAAGCAAGTTCAACTGCTAGGTGGCCATGACAAGGACCACGGGTGACCCCTGGTGGTGAGGTTAGGGATAGACACTGGTGCAGGTAGCAGCAGCACAGGGCCTCCTGACGGTCTCCGCCACCAGCAAGCAGATGTGCTGGTGAACTGCCTGCCTCAGGCTTCCTGGTGAGGGTCTGGGTAAATGCCAGCATGACTCGCCCCTGCAAAGGCAGATGGCCACAGTGCGGCAGAGGCTGTGTTCAGAGCAGGTATCTGAAACGTAGCTCTTACAGCTCCTGCCCAGCCTCAGCGTCTGACAGTGAAGGCAAGTGAACTGGAATCTAGATCTTCACACACAGGCTGGTAACACAGCGGAGTGTTGGAAGACCCCACATACGCTGTGTTCTAGGTGACAGCGCAGTGGCTCGGGCTCACAGCAGCTCAGAACATCTTATCTGTAAATCCTCCATTTTATTCAAAGGACAAGACTGCCACTGCTGGGCCACAGACCGATCACACTTCAGTTCTGGCTGTAACGGAAGATGGCTGCGGGACATGATGAGGGGTGGGTCTTGAACCCAGGGCTTTTCATGTGCACACTGGCACCGAGTGCCCCCAGCTGAAGACTTATCTCTCTAGTCAGAGTGGCCTGAATTACTGGGGAAACCTGGAAAATGCCTGTGTCACTTGATACATGTCTTGTCATCGATGAATACAGTGGAAAAATACAGGCAGAATGGAGGGATGGCTCAGTGGTTGGCCAAGAGCTCAGTTCCCAGAACCACTACAGGCAGCTCACAACCGCCAGCTCCTCTGCCTCCGGGGACCTAACACGGAATGCACCTGTGCACACTTTCACCTGACCTGTGCACTGCCAGCTCCTCTGCCTCCGGGGACCTAACACGGAATGCACCTGTGCACGCTTTCACCTGTGCACTGCCAGCTCCTCTGCCTCCGGGGACCTAACACGGAATGCACCTGTGCACACTTTCACCTGTGCACATGCACACATATGCAGTTTAAATAATTTAAGTATGTTTTAAAAATCAGCTCGACCTCTGTTTGCCTCTTTGTTGGGATTCCTGGAAGTCTGGCTGATAACGTTTAACAATAGGCTGAACCTTCAGAAAGACCGACAAGATCAAGAAAGAAAACAGCGCTGTGGGTGCTCAGGGAGGAATCGCGTCACTTTATTCACGGAGCCGAGTACAGAGGTGAAGGAGGGCACTGTGTGCTGCCTGCAACCGGGTGCAGGGCAGCTGGGGGAGCTCCGTGGCCAGGGGCCTGCAGGTCCAGCCCTCCTCCACGCCCAAGCACCGGGTGCTCAGGCAGACACACACCGACTGGATTCCACAGGGAACACGACACAGCTTCGCAAAGACTTCTGAACATTTGCTTTCATATCACAAGGGAAGGGAAGGCAGGGAGGGTGCGCAGGCCTTTCATGAGATGACAGTGATCCCAGTGACCATACTTAGAAGAGATTCAATTCAGGGGCTTTGGCGTCTCTCGGAAACCGCCTACATTTACCACCAGACACATCTGTACAAACCCTCCCAGCCCCCCAAACATCAATTCATCGGACAACTGTCTCCTCTTCCATAAGGTAAAATATTTGCATGTCCATCAGAACCTTTCTGAACATGATGCATGCAGACTTATGTCTCTCCCTCTTTCACCCTGGGAAGTGGCTCGCTGCCGCTCTTGGGAGAGATGCAGGACAGAATTGGTAATGACTGCCACTCGATGACATCAAGCCTGGGGAGAACAGGCTGGCTTTGTTGACTTTGTTGAGCACAGTCGCTGCTGAGAGTGTCCCCTTGAGGCAGTCCCTTCCTTGGTGAGCTTTTACACTAAACACAGGCAAGTGGAAGCCATCTCCCGTCCGTTTGTCACCATCGCCCTCTGCTCCACGGGTAGAAAATGGAAACAGTAATCTTGCAGATGCTGAAGGCCTGTTTGTCCTGTTCCAGCAGAGGGGTGCCGTTCCCTGTGTGTTACCCCTGGAAGACACATAACTGCAAACCCAAAGCCCCGACCATCTTTTTCTGGGTAGAAAGTTCTTAAAGGGGCACAAAAGAGTGAATTTGAAGTGTATAAAGCCTTGCTTTTTCTAAAGAAGAAAAAGAACGAAACTCAGAATGGAGGTGGGCACAGAAAGCACAGATTGACAGTTACCAGAAATTCTTTCCCAGCCAGAGTTCATGGAGCACACGGCCTGGGGCCCCGCCCGCTCCTGCAACACGCCCTGGGTGTCACTCCAAGTTTGCTTGAGATATTTTCTTTTTTAACAAAGACTCAAAAGAGGTTAATTTGAATTCTTTTAAACTTGCAAAAGTGGACACGTTTGACAGAATCATGGAAAGCAATCACTAGAAAAGATGCCTGTTTTAGAAACATCACCAGCTGAGGTTCCCCGTAATGGAGGTAACCCACAGTAGACAGATGGAAATGACAAAGGCAGGTGCCCTGGGAGAGAGGAGGCTTGGGCTGGAGGCAACAGAATCAGGACTTGGGAGAACAGAGGACAGGACAGATAGAAAACTATCCTCTCTCCCTGTTTTTGCACCTTAGTTCCTATTTACTCCAGCTTTTCTCTCTGAGGTTCCGGAGAACAGGCAGTTCATATTTAGTTGTCAAAGGAGTGATATTAAAAATATTTCATGACAAACTCCACGTGAGTATGAAAGTGCAGAGCTAGCTGTTTTCAAAGGCTTTTCACATCCCTAATAGGTTGCACAGGAAGACAACTTGAGAGCCTGGACTCTCCAGGAGGGGTTTTGAAGGAAGCACTGAGACGACCAGGTGGCCCTGGAAGCCTCTTCTAGGCCATGCAATCTGTATCAAGTCACACAGAAGTCAAATGCTAAAAAGTAGAGCCCTTAATGTACGCACCAAGTCTGCCATCCACAGAATCCCCCGGGGGAGCAAGCTGCTTTGCTTTTCAACCACTGGGTCGGTAAAGTGAGGCACACACCTCTCCTGTGCTAGGCTCTGGGCATGCCAATCCTGTAGAGTTCTTAATGTCATAGACGCTGGGTCTGGCAGTTAGAACCAGCCCTTCGTCAGCGCGCCCTTCTGGCTGGAATCTTCTGCCAGGGAACAGAGTGAGGCTCTGGGCAGGACAGTCCTCCCCCAGAGCAGCAGGGCCCTTACAGGGTTTCCTAGCAGTACATTTTTGCATGATACAGTTTAAATGAACAACTGCACTGATGTGGAATGCAAACTTTGTTTGCAATTTAGATGGAGAACTGAGTTCAAATGGTCAAGAAAGCAGAGTTTTGTTATTGCAAGAATTTAAGAGTTCAGTTCTTCAATTATTGCAATCCTAGGCATGTCCTTTAACCCACTCAAGGCCCTCTGCAACATAAAGACTGTCCCCCATTTCAGCTGAATTTTCCCATGTCAAGATAGAGCCACATTAACTGTATGGAGAGCAGGCACGGAATCTTAGCAATGACCTGTCTCCTGAACGCTTTGGTTTTTCTCACCAGCACAACTGGGAGTAATAACATTTATTTCCCTACTGCGTAAATAAAGCCTTCCACTAGGCCACCAGCTCTGCCGACTGTTCCTCTCTCCCCATCCTGCTCGCTGCCAGGGTAACCTGAGAAGCAGGTGGCACAGACCTCGTGCTGGGAGGCCGCCAGTGCCGGGCAGGGCCAGTGGGAGAAACCCACTTTTGCAATCTGTCTCACGAGGAGTGGGACCCATCTATCCAGGCCAGCACGGCAGCCCTCCTGTTACCTGACAGATCTGCACATGGGCCTGGGAGACTGGTGTGGAAGGGGTCTGGTGAGAAGTTCTGAGCCCTGACCTAGCGTGGCCTTACTTCCGCAGTCTGAACCCAGCGTGAGTCTCTCCAGCCCCCGGGATGTGCTGAGCACCCCTGAGCCTCACTCTTGATTTTTGGTTACACGCTCTTGTGCAAACGCCCCTTTAAAGCCACCGCACAGTGTGGCCAGCATTCAAGCAGAAATTACAAAGCACATATTGACCCATAGAACCGTCCTAGGTGAGTTACACACTCAAGTGAACACGTTAGGCTAGGCAAGAAGGAAACTAAACCAGGCCACGAGGGCTCTGTGTGATGCTGTCTACTTCAGGGTTGTAGATCCGAGGAAGAACATGTCATCCTTCAGTCTACGCCCTTAAAACACAAAATCAGTGTGGGCTTGACCTGACCCCTCGCCAGACAGATGGCGGGGGACCCTGAGGGCACACCTGTGGTGGCGGCCAGGCACAGACTTTCTCTAAGAGAGTCATGACTCATGAACCAACATCACCTACCAGCAGCTGGACCAGTCTGGAAGCTCTTTTTGCCTTTCCTGTCTTTGCAAGGGTGAGCACACCAGCTCCTGTCAGTTTGTAGGGACACATCATCCTAAGCAGAAAAAGCGTTCAGGGAGGGCTTCCTTCATTCCTTTTTCCTTTTCCTTTCTCTTTAATTTTTCCCCCTAGCAGTTGGCCAGCCAGGTCCCAGCATACAGGAAGAGAACACGTGCTTATTTAAATCATTTTTGCTGGTTCTCAGCCATGCACTTGGAGCTACCTGCTCCCTGATGGTGATTCATTCCCCCAGAGCCCAGGCACACCCGAGGGAGGCTGCCAGGGAAAGGCCGAGCTGCTGCCACCAGGTCGCTGCGGCCCCTGGAGCCTCCTCAGCCACAGTGATAGGTAATAAATAGACTGCTCTTCAGGACGCCCAGTCATCCCTCTCCCGTGCGGCTTCCTAAGGGCACTTGCTGACTCTCCCCAGTACAGGCAGCACGCAGTTAGACATCAGTTAAAGGGGAAAATGAAAAGGAGAAAGAAGACCCTGTGTGGACACAAAGTGACATGAACAGGCCACGCGTGGACATTACTGCTGAGTCTGGGAACACAGAAAGTCCTATCCCATTGTTGCTTGGCCCAGGATGCGGTTCACGGCACGGAGATCAGATTTGCCCTCGTGTTGCTCCAGGGAGACGGTGGTGAGTAAATTCTCTAATCGGTTCTGGGCCTTAGCACAATGTTCTAGGCAGCACTGCCGCTGAGTCCTCTTTCCGATTGCCGTTCACTTGAGGGAATTAAAAGAGCTTAGCTTTTTTCTTCATGTCGTTGCGTCTCCAAAGAGGTAACTTGTCAAATTCCTGTATGGACATCCCAAAGATTTCCCAAAATACTTCTGGGGCTAAGTGGCGCTGGGAAGAGAGAAGCAAGAAGTCATTAGTTCTAATGGCCACATCAGGAACCTTCAGATGTGTTCTCCAGTTTATGAATGCAGCCAGCCCTCCAGGTCACGGCTTCTGCATCCCCAAGTCGATCCGTAAGCAAACTCATCCTTCCCAGGCTACATCTGACCTCAGCATGTACAGACTGCTTCCTGGGTCATTCTTCCCCAAACAGCACAGTGCTGCAGCCACAGACACATCAGTGGGGTTGTGCCAGCACTGTGTGCCATCCAGAGAGTGTGTAAAGCAAGCAGAGGCTGCAGTCAACACGTGAATACCCACTGCTCCCTGCACTTCAGCCTCTGCCTCTGGGGGAGGGTGTCCTGGGGTCTATTCTCTGCAGAAACTGAGAGACCCCAACCTCAACATGAACAGCAAGTCAGACCCAGGGGTGAGGCGGCTGCCTGGAGGCTTGCCCAGACAGGTACACTGCTCTGCACCAGAGGAAACAGCTGGCAGGCTACTGGCAGCACGGTTGCACTGTGGTGCTGGACTGGTGATTGAGCACGGGAAGGTGATTTGTGGCAGTGGATGTAACAGCCATCACTTTAGGTCCTTGGGATGTTGAGAAGATGCAGATAAAAATGGATGCTAGTAACAGCCAAAGAGAAAGGGACTGGGGTCATCCCTGGGAAAGCCCAGTGACAGGAAGGAAGGACGCTTATCTCCCATTGGTCATTCCTCCTGCCAAGTCCCATTTAACCGGAATAGTCTGAGCTAGCCCGACCTCTTCCACAAAAGCTTTGTGTCAGGGAAGGGGCTTGATTCTTCCTGAGATGGGCAGACAGAACAATTTCATAACTAAAAACGATTCACGTGGAAAGATACAAACACAAGTCTTCCATGCCTATGGAGGCCCTGAGTACCTGTGCCCGGATAATTCTTTAAGACAAGGAATGCAGAAAGAGCTGGAAGGACGTTTGCCCAGAGCAGACCTTCTAGAACACTGCTTCCTCGACTCTCGGTTGGCTCAGCCCAAGCCCAGGACAGACACGGGCCTGGCAAAACCTCAGGAGTGACGGAGACACTCATGCTGCAGCTCTGGCCCTGATCATGCCGGCATCTGGTTTCCAAAAAATTTGAGGACACCACACCGTGTCTCTAGGGTCACTATAAATCTTACCAGGGACTCTTACACACTGACCTAACTGTAAACTTAGAGGTCCGTGTACTTAAATGTGAGTGTGTGCCTTTCCCCTGGCCTCTCTGAAGCCAGGCAACTTCTGCCTTGACGCTGACTGCCTGTGGAGGCACCGCTTCTGTCTCTCTGGACTGTATAGATATTGCCACACCTTTAGGTGTGTAAAGAATTCTGAGCACTAAGAGGAGCAGTGACTAGGTGGCTCTAATGTCCCAGCTCATGGTTTTATTTCTTTGGACATCCTCAAGATTTAGCTAGCTTTTTGTTCCACCAACAATTTTGAGACTTTTTTTTGTTTTTAAATCACTACTTTAGCTTTCCCCTGGGAAAATACATTTATATATTGTAAAGCATGCTAGTGTGTGTGTGTGTGTGTGTGTGTGTGGTGTGCAGGGATCTTCAGGGTTAAGGTTTCGCTTTGCTTACCTCCAGTCGGGTTCTATCCACATCTCTTAGGATTTTGTTGCGCCCTCTGTTGGTCACCATGAGCATTTCATATGGAAATATCTGAAAAAGAAAGATGCCTTGTCTAGAACACAATTATCCACTTAATTAATAAGCACAGCCTAAAGTCCATCACACCCATGGTAGAGACAGCAACAAGAGTAGCTACAGAGAGCCTCTAGTGTTCGGGGAACAGAGACATATTCTCACACACTCCCATCTCTCTACCTGTGACTCACGCAGCACTGTGCCCTGGAAACAATTTTCTAAATGTAAGAACACTAACATTATGAATGGGACATTAGGTCAAAGCTGGCAAGACCTAAGTGGCAGGCATAAATGTCACCTCTGACACGATGCTGTGAAATCACAGGGTACCTCTGTGCGGGGCTCATCACACTTAGCTATGACAGATTTGTGCCTTGAGAATTCATACAACTAAGCAGGCCCAGTTTCCAGTGTTCTGCAAGTCTGATGTACTGAAATAAGCCCCCACTAGAGGTGTCAAGGAGATCAAGTTTTTGGACACCCCGTTTGTTTTGTTTAAGACAGGGCCTCCCTGTGTAGACCAAGCTGGCCTTAGGTCGTTCAGCCTGCCCCCACCTCCTGGGCACTGAGATTCCAGTGTGTGCCACCATGTTTGACAACTAGCTCCCAAGACACAGAGTGGCTGGAGCTCAGATGACCGACCATGCCAGTTTGCCCGGGATTAATCAGCGGCGGCAAGAAGACACTCGTCACCAACTCTAAGAAAGTTACGGCAAAGGGGGCATGCTGAGCGCGCAGTTTGGAGCAGGCCTCTGCCACTGCACTCAGCACAGGACTTGAGACGCGTGTGGCAGGGTCAAGGTCACAACAGGTCACGGGATGCTGTGACCAGAGTATTGCAGGCAGTAAGGGTTCGAGACAATGTGGCACAGACGGGAATGGCAGGATGCTTGCAGACAAGCTAGCCTGGATGTGCCAGCCAGAACCAGGTGGCTTTTACGCTCTGCACACAGAGGACAGGAAAGAAAATCTCTCTATTGCATGTGATTGCGCACGCAAGGAGAGGGACAGTCACACTCGCCTTTGGTTCCAGCATGTTGGGCATGGACACGCCTCTATCCATTCTCATTGCTGGCATGTGGCCATCTGGGAGGGTCTGTAACAGAAATGCCTGGTCAGTGTGAGCGCAAGATATCAGTGAAACCCAGGGAGGGCCCTGAGTGCTCCCCGGGGGCTTTCCCTGTTGCAGCTAGTTCCCTGTTGGCTCCTCCCCACCATGTCATGTTCATCGCCCCTCACTGAACAAGAGCCACAACATGTAACGGAGTTGGAGAAGGGTCATGGGTTAGTAACTGACTCAGGCTGTGTGGGCGGAGGAATACAGCACACAAAAACTCTGAGGTCCAGCACCATTATTTTCCTCCTGTGTCTGTCTGTCTCTCTGTAGCTCAGGCTGGCCTTGAGTCCTAGAGCCTTCAATGCCATAAGCACTGGGATTACAGGACACACCAGCACATCCTCTTATCTTTTTCGTTTTTTATCCTAGTTTGGATTTACCCTCCCTTCTCCCTCACAGGCTCACACGATGAAAAAGAGGGGCTCCGAGCAAACTGCTCTCTCCCAGAGGCTCAGAGACGTTCTGTTTCATTTGTCAACAAGGGAAGGCAGCAGCACCTAAGCACGGACAGACTAAAAGCCTGGTCCGGGCTGCTGACTGTGAACTCCTCCCTGGCATGACGCACGGGAGCCAGAGCACAGGGCCCCCCTACACCTGGCCCGAAAGGTCTGCAGTGACCCCTCGCCTGGCTCCCAGACGAGGGAGCCTGCTTCTCCCAGCCATGGAGTAACGTAAGCAGCCTGGTGTCCATGCCTTCGGTCATCAACCCCTGTCCATCCCTGAAGTAATCCACCCGGTATCCATCTTCCCTGCGGTAATCAACCACGTGTCCATCCTGGTGGTAATCAACCCGGTGTCTATCCCTTCGAGAATCAACCCCATGTCCATCCTCCCCGTGGAGATGGCTCCCCCGAGGCAGCAGCAAGAAATGGAGAGGGACCACTCTGGGGTGGCCGGCATGACAAAGCTGTCCATACCTGGTAGTCTGAAAAGGGAAAACAGTCATTAGGGAGAGACCATGAGAAAACCATGTGATGTAAAAACAGGAATGTATTTCACTGCCACATCAAAAACACCCCAAAGAACTATGCTTGTTTCCCACCCCTAACCAGTCCACAAACCGCTGAAGCCAGGAAATCCCGTTCAAACCTCCCTGCGCCCCCCAGCACATGGCCTAGAGGGCAGTGCCCTCCCTCCGTCAGAGCGCTCAGCATGCAGAAGGGCGGTGAACGGGTGCGTAGACACTGCTTTCCGGTGTCTGGGCTCATCCAGAGACTTTGACTTTTGGGGGCTCACTATTAACTCAGAAGGGAGCTGTGTGACATACAGCGTGTGGACACAGGCCGTGGGCTGGGTTTTACACCTGAGCCTGGTCACAGGAAGTGACAGTCATGGTCAGCCTCCCCTTAGAGCCTTACCCCGGACTCCGCCGCTCACGTCTCCGTAGCTGTTGTACTGAGCGAAGTCTGTGGAAACGGGCTGCAACGAGGAAAGTGTCATCACTGGTAAAGCTCCACAGCGGGGGCTGGTAGGGAGAACAGACTTACAAGAGCCTCAGAATCCTTTCCATGCTAACAGCCCGAATGTCCTCATTTAGCTCATCTGTTCCTCAAACTACACAACTGCATGCTGGCAGGCATCTGGCTACTGTGCAGCAGGCCTTTACGGAGTAGGTGTTTCTTTCACAGATAAAGGTGTATTTCCACAGGTAGGGCCTGGTGGTGCACACCTTTGGCCCCAGGGATCTCTGTGAGTTTGAGACCAGTGTGGTCTACGCAGTGAGTTCCAGAACAGCCAGGGCTGTGTAGAGAGGCACGGCCCCTGGCTGTAATGGTATTGGAATTAATTGTATTCTCGGCCTGGTGGAGGAGGGCGCTTGTCACCAACTTTATAGAAATAATGAACTGAGTGATTATGTTCTGCCTCATTGTTAAAAACAAACAAACAAATAAACAGCTGCCTGTGACTGCCTATCTTAGACTCTTACACCTACACAGGCCTTTAAAGTCAGGGTCTTCCTGAAAAAGAAGTATTTCATTTTGCTTACAACTCAGCGATTCCCCAAGCGGCAGATGGCCGTCCCCGTGCCTGCACAGCAGGGTCAAGGCATCAGCCACGGGCTGGCAGGTTCAGCGTGAGAAGGCACATGCCCAGGCACAATGGCCTGAGTGTAACTTGTGGGCCGCATGCGGTGGGAGGAGAGAGCTCACTCCTGCCAGCTGCCCTCTGACCTCCACACGCACACCACAGCACGTGTGCTCACACACAGACACCCCATCAGTGGGAGGAAGTCTTACCCGGTGAAGGCCATTCTTTCCATAACCGGGGAGAGATGAGGTTTTCGAGGAAGGAGCACACGAAGCTGAATGAGGAAAACAGTAGAGTGTTTCCTAGGGCTTCTGGGGGGGCGCCAGTGACGGCGCACAGTGACAAGACAGGACGAAGAATTCAAAGGACATTGGGTTCCAGTGTTCACACCTCCTCCTTGGGGAAGGTGTGAGGCAGGAAGAGGAAAGACGCACAGCCCAGTTGGAGCTAGCTGAACCCCTGTGATTCCTCACACAACCACAAGCTAGCTGTGCAGTCTTCCTTTGAGTACCCAGGCCTAAGACCACCGTTATTGCCAGGTTACTGCAGACAAAATCCTGGAGCTAAGAAAGCGTTCAAAGCAAGGACTTGAGCCCAGGGATGTGTGGGTGTCAACACTCCAGGCCCCAACGTGACAGGAACCGACACAGAAACCAATGGGGTAAGACATCAAGAAGATGCAGCCAATCAGGGCCTGGCTTCGAGAAGGCCCGGGCTGTATGCCAGAAGAGGGCACCAGATCTCAGTATAGATTGTTGTGAGCCACCGTGTGGTTGCTGGGAATTGAACTCAGGACCTTTGGAAGAACAGCCAGTGCTCTTAACCTCTGAGCCAGCTCTCCAGCCCCCAGGACAAACCTTTTAAAATAGTTTCTCGGCCTGTGCAGCTGCAGCAGCACTACATGCTCAGAGACCAGAATCTCACACTGAAGGAACCCCAGGGGTTAGAGGACCCCAGAAGCTGGTCCTGGCTCCTGCCTGTGTGTCTGTCTCCTCGCAGGCCAAGGCTTGGCTCACCCTAAGTCCCAGGGCAGGGCCCTGCTGCTCACCTGAGTGCAGGGGCGAGTCATAGCGACTGGCCAGCAGGGACGCTCTTTCTCTGCTCTCCTTCTCCATCTCTTCCTTCAGAATCAGCTGCCCCAGGCCCGAGTTGAGCTATTCACAGGGTGAAAAAAAGGAAAGGAAACATGATGTGGTTTTCACAATAAACTGCTGTTCTTTCTTGAGGAGCCTGGGCTTCTGTAAGAGCAGGGCCGGCTCTGGACGCTGGAGCCCTGTGCTTTCCCAGTGGTGAGGCTTGTCTTCCCTGAGCCGGGCTCCATGTTCTTCCTTCTCTCGTTCTCCCTGTGGGCCTCAGCTCATGTGCAGCTGATGACTTTTACATATTGGAGGGAGAGATTACAGACTGGGCACCCTTACACAAGAAACTGCATTATTTGCCTTAAAAACCCTAAAAGCAGTAGGTGCTCACACATATCTTAGAAGACCTGAAGGAAAGGACCTGTGACCCCACAAGGAGGGCCCGCCCTCTGCTCCCTGGTTCATACCCATCTGTCACTGTCCTACACACAATTCACATAAACCAGGCTGCTCTTTGCACCCTCTCCCCGTGCGTCACACCATGCGCATTTCTTGCGTCTTTGAGGAACGCCACTTTAAGGGATCCATTGGCACCTATTGGTCGGAGGTTAGACCGGCTAGCCCTCTGTGGCAGGATGCAAGAATGCACAGAGGGAGTAGAGGAGTGGGGAGCTCTTGGCGGCAGACCGACCGATGCCTGTTTCCTCACTCCAGGTATAAGTTCTGTCCAAGGCCTGAGGAAGGATTTGGACCAACGTCACCCCGAGGAAATCCCTCTCTCAAGACCTGCCTGGCCCTAGCGCACACCGCTGTGACTGCAGGGTCCCCTACAGCATTTTACCCGGCCCGCCTACACCTACCTCCGCCATGTGCTCCATGCATGCTAAAGCTCCAGCCTCACTCTCACCACCTCGAGGACCAGCCACCTGCCAGACCTCTCCTACTGGACAGCAAGGCCGTGAGGCCGGGACACGCCTGTTTCCCTGGTGGTGTGGCAGTTTACACGGTAGTTATGTAGAACAAACACCAGGGGTCAAACGGAAGCGGAGCTGAGGGCAGCAGCGAGGACAAACCTTCATCAATTGCTCTTCGTGAAGCTGCCGGCGTCTCAGAAGCTCCTCCTCATCTTCCTCTCTGCCATTAGATCTGCGCCTCATGTCCGTTCCTAATTCCACGGCAAAAACAACTTCTCACATCAGCCCCGAGATCGGGAATCCTAGCCGCCTGGTGTGTCTGGTTGCCCACCCGGCTTGGAAGTTGGGCTATCATGGCGAAGGGGACGCCACAACAGGGGGAAATGTCCACCACCAACCCAGCCCCATGGCTGGCTTCTCAGGGCTCGTGTAACAGGCTAGCATGGTGCGTGGTGCAGCTAAGCGGGGGCTTTGGGCCCTTTAACCCTGTCTGTTAGCGTGACCTGGGCTTGCCCTGGCAACTGAGTCTCAAGGCATCTACACAGCCACAGCCCGGAGCTCGTCACAGGAAGTGGAGAGGGGCCTCCAGCCCTCGTTATCTGATGACCCAAGTGTGGTCAGGGTTTAACTAGCAAGGAACCCCAGCCCACCTGCATATCTACGAACTGCTAAGAGAGTCACTCCCTTGTGGCAAGTTTTTAAAACTTGCAGTGCCCCCTTTTCCTGTTAAAAACAAACTGCCACCTCTTCTACCCTTGGTTAGTCCATTAAAATGCACATTTTCTGTGTTTCTTTTAAAGGCTGAGTCTACAGTTTTCCTTTCCTTACATAGTAAAAATCAGTCAGAAAAGAATGCTGTTACTAACAAGCACAAATAGGGTTAATAGAGCTGGAAGTGATGGGACAATGTGTTCTAGGCTTCCAGAGTCTGTCCCAGTGACTGGGCGCTTCGGCAAGTGCCTTTCATCCTGTCACTTAGGTTCACCTGTTGGAGGAAGCAGGAACACTCTCTAATCTAACAAAAATAAACATTTACCAATACTTGTACTTTCACTATTTTGATGAGTGGAGCAAACATTTTCCTTGCTTTAGGATTCTAAGCAACTTTAGAATATTTGCTGCTGCTGATAGTGCGTACAGTGATTTCTGTCTCTGAACTTAGGTTCCTGCTAAGCAGTCTAGCTGAGGTAGACAGCTGAGAGCCTCAGCTAGCTTCTGAAGGGCAGAAGCTGGCAGACACACCATTCTCAGGCTTAGAAAAGCCAGTGTGGATTGTCTCTTTAGTTTATACTAATAAAATTCAATCAACTAAATTTTGCAAAAATTAGATACATCTCATCAACCTAGTTATAAACTATCTGTGAATAATGAGAATAGATGTTTCTTCAACTATTTCCATAAATATGAATTGCTTTAAATGAACTTCTCTTGACTATAAAAGTTATTCCAAAAATAGTATGATGAGGAAGATTTCTGGAACACTGAGGGCCTTGTAGGTTGTCAGCAGAAGTGAGGCTAGCTGAACCCTTGTAAGACTGAGCTAATTTTCAGTCTAATCCATTTCTATAGGCCTGAGTGAGTTCACTACTGACAAAATGATAAAGACACGGACACAACTGGAAAGCAGAAAGCAAGAATGACGCAGCTCCAATGTGACATTGGAGCACAGAAACATGGGATGACAGATGTAAACTCACACACGTTATATCCTAGAACGCCTGCTCCAGGCCTTCTTAGTGAGGCAGACAGCCTGGCCAGGGCTGGAGAGGGCCTCATGGTTAAGGCTGCATTAACAGTGAGGAAGGCAGCCCGGATATGGCCTACAGCAAACTAAACTGGGAAAAGTCATGTTTCTGTGGACACACCATAACTTCGCCCACCCTGTTCTCCAGAGGGATGTGTTTGCCAGCAGGCTCTGACCCAAGTGTGCACAACACACAGAGACATCCGTCCATGCCATCGTTTTTAGACCCGTTCTGGATCCTGTGTAGTCAGGCCATGGGAGGGAGCCAGGCTCTATAACTTGTAAGCATTCTGCATGCACACTATCATCACGTTTGTTTTTCTGTCTTACACTATAGGATATGTACTTTTCTCAAAAGTCCTTGTGACAGTTCCTTGCACATTTTTAAGCATTCACTTTACACTTTCCTGGGCATTTGTCTGATGGACTTCTCTGCATTAGTCACATACCTACGGCGGCAAGGGAGGGGGGGCCGGGCCATTGGTCCGTCTCAATCTTTGGAATCTCGCTGGGATCTGGCGCCTGGGCTGCAGGGAACTTGGAAAACTTGATGATTTCTTCTGAAGCCTTGCTCTGGGCTGCCAAGGCAGCTGCATCTAGGTGGGAACCAGGGACGCTTAGCTACGGGGGCCAAGGCGGAACCACCCCACAGACACTGCTTTCCACTTTTCACTGAATATGCCAGAGCTAGGACTCTTAGCACTTCTGCCTCCAGAGAACAGTCCACTCCTAACTGCTCTTTAACTTTCAAATACTCTTGGGATTGGAAATTTTGACAATTAGACATTTGAGTTCCAGATTTGGCATTAAAGAGCTAAGTGAAAAGCAGGATGGGCAGCATCTGACTACAGCTGTTGATATTTAGAGAGGTGGCTGCTTTGTACTTGGAGGCCAGAAGCCACAGATACCCCAGTCTGGCTCATCTTAATCCTTTACACCCTGTACACAGGTCTTTGAATCTTAGAAGTTGAAATGGAGGAAGTGACTTCAGGCTTTGCAGGAACTCCGAGTAAGATAGCACCCGGGCGTACTGTTTTGCTCAGGGTTCAGTTTTAACAAGTGAGTCAGACAATTGAAAACAGAGCGGCCCAGGCAGGCAACATTACTTCACAGGGTTCACGGTGGCCATACTTAGTGGAGGGCCCACTATGTAGAGCCCCAAATCCAACCACAGAATTGTAGCAAAGTAAACCAGGCTAAATGGTCAGTCCTGATTCCAGCTGGCTTGGCAAACTAGCCTGGCATTTCAAAACATTTATAAGGGCGAAGTTAAGTGACTTTTCTTTGGGGCTTACATATTTTTAAATCTGGAATAACTTTTTGAATCTTTGCTTAGTGACCTTCTGGCCTTCAGCTTGCTTGTGTGGCTTGACCAAGGTTACCCAATAATGCGAGGTAAAGTTTGGCTGGGTAGAAAGCAGTGTATCTCAGAATATTAACATAATGGGAAAAATATCTGTGTCCTCCCTAGAGGGCCCAGAATGTTGACACAAGACTGTACTTCTATGTAAAAATGAAGAAAAACAACTTTTCTTCTCCCCTGGCAAATGCTTCAGGGCGCAGGTACCAGTTTGGGACGTGGTGATGTCTATTTCCTTGTCATGGAGCAAGGGTCTGCAGGACACCTGGAGAGTGTCATCCTGGCGCTATTGATTAATCACTCATAATAGGCTGCAAACAGGGACTTGTGCCCAATGAACAAAGCCACTCCTTCTCCACGAAGCCTACCACTTTCCAACCTCCTGACTCTTGTCTGACTGCTTAGGGAGCTGGGGACCAGAGATTTTAATATTTATAGATATCCCTACACTGCAAAATCTAACTCTGGGTATTTTCTTGTTAAAGAAAACCAAAAAAGCATGACTTCAAGCAGTACTTACGCGTAAGAATTGGTGAAGTCAGTAGTTAGACATTCACATGTTAATGAGTGTGTGGGAAGACATTAAACCATAAAAAAACAAAAACAAAAACAATGTTAATAAACTTAAAATGCAAGCGTGGAATGTAAAACCTTGAAACAAAAAAGAAAAGGAAAACCAGACAATACACACTTTTCCCCCTAGAGTGTTGCCTTAACGATTTTCCTTGTGTATTTTCAACTCTTTCCTGACTAGATTCTTATGGACAGCCTTCAAATTTCCAGACACAGCATGTAATTTTCGGAACTCACTGGAAGGCCAGTTTGGGCCATCTGTCTCAGCCACAGATTTATGGCAGATGAGTCCAGAGACACCTGATGGTGGTGGGAAAAAATGAGACTCTGATTTCTTGGGTTAAAAAGATCTATATTCTCAGAAAATGAAAACACAATAATAAATCCACCTTGGTCATTCCTTGCATCTGGAAATGTAAGAACACTCTTAAATGACTGGTCCTTACAGACAGGAACACTAAGACACAGATGGTTTATGCCCATGACGCACACAGCCATATCTGCGCTTGGGACACGCCCTTCACCTCACCTGCTGCCCTGCCTACGATGGGGCTCACACCTTGTAAGAATTTTTGCAGGTAGTTCATTTTTCACTAGTTATAATTATCTGAACTAGTTGCAAGCTCATCAAATTTATTTTAAAAGTTGGTTAAATGATTTAATAGCTAAGCAAAGGTTATCAGGGTGTTTGTTGTTGTGCAAACACACTTCCGTTTCCTGTGACATGGTGATAGTTTGACAGGATCAGAGACAGGTTAGAGGCTTCCTGACTGAGCTCTTTATTAGGCAAATGGGTTTCAAGTCACTATTTGTCTGCTGTCAGGTTACAGGGCGTGGTATGCGCTGTGCCCCAGTCTGAGTCATTCTAAAAGCAGCAGCGGCAGGCAAGCCGTCAGGCAAGCCTTTCGGGAGATGGCAAAGGGAGTCCAGCTGACTCAGCCATTAAGCTAAGGAGGAGAGCGAGTTTTACCATGCTGTCTGTAGATGGGTGGCTTTCGGTAAATGTTGATCCCTTGATCTGTGGAAATGAAAAGCAAAGATGTGTGATTATGGGAACCAGCTCAGAAATGAAGAAACAAAACCAAAAACAACAACAGGCCAAAGGGTGAACCAGAACTGAAGACTCAAACAGAAGTAGGCCAGAGGGCAGACCTTGTATTACAAAGACTGAGGACACTGCAGAGAAAGATACAGAAACGAGCCCGATCCACACACAGGTGACGTGAAGCCTTTGTAATACATCACGGCACACAGCGCGGTGCCTCTTATTTACGAGCCATTTATTCACACACAGATGTCACTGAGGTGGGACCAAAACAAGAAGCAATGCACGCAGTGAGACGCTTAGATGGTGAGGAAGACGTAACCAGTTTGGGGAAAAACAATCCCCAAATTGCTACTGTCTAGAAATTGAGCTGCCAGGAGTCTTCGGGGGCTCAATTTACTATTTCACTCAATGATGGGAACAGAAGTCGATGTGGAAAACTAAGAATAAACATAGCCACACTTGGGATGATCAACAAAGCCCTAATCCAGACATGTGGATTTGTGTTACAGAGCAAGAAAGAAAAAAGGAAAGCGCTACAAAACGCTGTCCACATGCCTGCAGACTCTATCTGACTACGCCACCATTTCCCTTTCACTAAAGACGCTCAGGGAGTTCCAATGCTCTCTCTCTCTCTCTTCCCCACAATCTTAGGTACTGTACCCGGTAGGGTAATTCTTCATATAAAAACTTCAAAAGTACGTAACAGTTTTTCAAGATTAATGAAAATTATTTGGAAGTCCTGGTTACATGGTTCCACTCTCACTGTCCCTTCCTGACTTGCTGAGTAAATTCAGAATTTAAAAGAAGAGTAGAGATCCCAGGTAGGCAGAGTGATGGGAACCTACCGGGTGCTGGCCGGTCGCTCTGAGCTGACCCCAAATGTCAGGACACTGACAAACTCTGGATTTTCCAGTTTCTGATGGTGAACCTGAGCTGTGGTAGCTGGCACTGTGACTACTAGGGTGAAGCTTGTGGTGCTGAGCCTAAATTGCAAGATGCTCTTGGGCCGTGGAGGTGGCTTCCTCACCACATCCTACAGAACACTGCCAGCTGACCCAATGTTACAACTGTGAAGGGACGCTCAGGTGACAGTGTGGTTCAGTCTTCAGGATGAGACCATAGCTCGATGGCTCTTGGGGACAATTTGTTAATGACAGTGAACTGTCATCGTAGAAGGCAACTGACATCGTAGAAGGCACAAGGATACCCTGATCCTTTTGCTGCTCTTTTCCCTTTCTGCCTCCCGATCTCTGTGAGGATGTTGAGTGCTCAGCAGAAGAGTACCCACCCATCGTGCACAAAACCCTCTGCTTAATCCCCAGCCATGAAAATATATATGGTTTGACTAAAAACATAAGCCTTCAGTTTGGTCCTACCAACTTTAATTTAGATCTTTTGGAAAGCCAGAGCCTGCAATTTAGTGTTTGTTGAGTGTGTGCATCTTGATGAAGGAAAATGAGCAATGGAGACAGACGAGGCTATGAGGCTACATTCTACACGGTGACAGGACACCAAGACACATTGTGTCAGCTCCTACCTGGAACATGGAAATGTTTGGGGGCCTGAGCATAAGTTGGAGTTAGAGGGCGGCTGTCGGGTCGGTAAGGGAGAGGGGAGTTCCGGCCGCTGGACGGCTCGTTGCCTCCAATGAGAAGAATGGAAAAAACAGAATGAGAGGGGGGAGAGCGATACAGGGAACCAAGAAGCGAATCAAAATTCAACACAACAGGCTGGAAGGAGGGGATGTCAGGAGGGCGAAACCAAGGAAACAAATGCAGTCTGTCAACCTGGCTCGCAAAGGCGGCGCCGGGTTTAGTTTCCAAGGGAGATCTGAGCTCAGGTGGAGCCAGGTTCAAGCAGCCAGCAGTCAGGATGCATCATTCAAAGGCATGCAGTCGAGCTCCGCAAGCCGATCACACGGGAGGAGGTGGGAGGAGGGAGGTGGATCAGCTGTCTGGTGCTTAAACCCCAACCATGTGGGGGTGCAGGCCCCGCCTCCAGGTGTGACCGCTTCCAGGCATGATGGCAGAGGCTGGCCACTGGAATATGTTTCTCTTGAGGCTGGGCGCCTCACCAGGGCCTTTCCCTCACAACATAAAGTGCTTCCATTGCCGCGTGTGTCTGTCTCCCTCGCTCTCAAATGCACACATGGGGTCGGACGCCTTCCTGCCAGATACCTGGGGGCTTCTTAGACCTCTCTCTGCACTGCCATCCACGATGAGGCTCCTCCTGGCTCACGCTTCAATCACCAACACACTAACTGAACACCCACCATGGCCAGCACAAATCAGGGAAGGAGAGGAGTCCTGCCTCTGCTTCTCTGCTCTCCCTACCCTGGTATTGCTACACCATGTACCTGCTCAAGCAGAGAACTGATGGGCACACTCAGAGAGGAGGACTCCACCAGTTCTTTAGGAAGCTCTTTGGAGCATCAGAGAAAAGCCCGAGGTGATCGAGAAGCAATGGTCTAGAGCATCATGAGCTAGGGTGTATGCGGCTGCAGCGCTGAAAGCTGTCTGCAGAGGAGACACGTCCGTGGGGTGGAGGGCTGGAGCCTGGCTGCAAAGTCCTTATGCGCCGACAGAGACACAGGCACACCTTCCCCCTTCAGCCCACAGGAGTGCAGGGAAGAGCGTATGTGAACTCAGGGAGAAAACAGCCCCTGGCCTAATCTGGCCTCTTTCCCCACAGCGAGCAGGCACCACGTCGTATGAGAACACGGCAAAGCACCGAGGACTACCGAAACCTACCGAAGCCTACTGAAACCTACGGGATTATAAAGTGAATTATGTCTACTGTTGTTTTTAGGTCTTTATTCAAGAAATAAATCTCTCCTCTATGACATACAATTTTCAGTTTTTTAAGTCACTCTGTAGGCTGTCTTTTCATTAACTTGGTGGCATTTGAAGTCAATGTTTCAAATTTGTTTCTTATCTTAGCCCCTAAGATTGGGTTTGGGTCCTTATACATTCTAGGCAAGTGTTCTACCCACTGAACTAATTATTTCAAGCAAACCATAGACTGTCAGAGAAAAAGTTTTGGCCAACTTCTTCACATCAACCCATCCTAAAGCTGTAGGATGTGCTGAGAAATGTCTCACTATAGACATTTCTAGGTCACCACAACACAGGCATGAAGCCAAATGACACAACCTTGCTCTCCCAAAGAGCAATAGCTAGTTCATGTCTGACAAAATATGTTCAGAAGCACAGAACATATAGAAGAAGGGCAGAGAGAAGGGCAGGTGAGGAGAAGGAGATACTGTGTCAACTCTAGAGCTGAACTCCTTTGTTCTCACCAGTCTTCAGCTCATTCCCTGGCTGACAGTGAGTACTTAGCAATTTCCTGGGGTGAATGACTGATGAGAGGCCAACTTCCTGCTGACCCTGACCTAAGGTAGCATGGCCCCACTGTGGGACCAGCCATTGCGTCTCTCAAGGGAGCCAGATGCTGGTACCCAGCAATGGGGTCCCAATGGCATCGCCTGTACCTCTTCCACTCTAGCTCATCTTCCAACTCCAGAAAATATTTTAACCCTATAAGGGTTAGTAACTGCTACGAGCTGAAAAACAGACCATTCTTAAGAGTCCTCTGCAGAGAAGGCACAGGGAGCTCTGTTCTCTCGCTTTATTTACTGTAGAGACTGGGTATCATGAGACCTGGCCACTGCCAGCTCTGAACCGCTCCGTGCCCTGCCCTTGATCCACCTGTAGCCCTCATGTCCTGGCAGAGCAGCAGGGCTCATGAGAGGCCCTCATGAGTTTGGTCAGGTGAGCATCCAGGACACCCATCTTGATATGCATTAGGCAGTGCCATGTCCACACGGAGAAGCAGCACAGGCCGGGCAGAGGCTGAAGGCTACTGGAGGCAGGTGACAGTGCCAAGTGTGAGGGCTTTCCCGAGGGTTTGGGAGGCCTCTGGGGCCGAGGAGTGGTGTCCTACTGTGCCACTGTTGCTCTTGACTCGGTTGTGCACTTTCAACAACGACAGACTCTTAGTTGTGAAGAAGCAATACAAAGACCCCTAGTGCGTAAGCAAGTCTCTGGGAGTAGATTTAATTGTATGATCGTCTAAAATTCCCCACAGGACTGTCTGAAATACCAGGGGAAAGTGATTTCGAAGGCATCGACCCCTCACTGGAGCCAACAAATAAGTAAGAGCAGGGCGGAAGCTGCTACCTTCGCTTCCCTGTGTGCCCGTGTCCTTTGCTCTCGGCGGACTCCTGCTTGAGGCCCCAAGGTCACTAAGGAGTGTCTGGCTGGATGCCCTGCCTATCTCATCCCACCAAGGCTGCAGGCACAGAGACAAGCCTTAACCCGACTTTCTGATTAGGAACAATGAGTCCTCACGGGACAGACAATCCCGAAGATGAGAATGGTTACCTATGGAACAAAAGCTACGCCCTGGAGTAGACCATATCACGGGAAACATCAGCCATGGGTGAACACAGCAATTAAATGAACACGTAGCATCTCGCAGGGCTGGGGTTGAGAGTTAGGGCAGGGTGATGTCTGACCGTGCGTGTGTGCGTGTGTGTGTGTGTGTGTGTGTGTGCGTGTGCAGGCACGGTCACCCACGGGTGTGAATGTAAGGGCTGGAGGCCAAGCTTGGGCAGCACCTTCCTCTACTGCATGCCACCTTAGCTTTTAAAACATTTTTACTTTTATTTTATTGTTATTAGTTTTTCATAATCTATTCAGTTTGTATTCCAACTGTAGCCCCCTCTTATCTCCTCCCAGTCCTACCCTCCATTCCTCTTTCCCCCATCCCCCTCCTCTAGATCACTGATAGGGGAGGTCCTCCTCCCCTTCCCTCTGACCCTAGCCTATCAATTCTCATCAGGACTGGTTGCATTGTCCTCCTCTGTGGCCTGGTAAGGCTGCTCTCCCCTCAGGGGGAGGTGATCAAAGAGCCAGCCACCGAGTTCATGTCAGAGCCAGTCCCTGTTCCCCTTACTAGGAAACTCACATAGAGACTGAGCTGCCATGGGCTACATCTGAGTAGGGGTTCTAGGTTACCCCCATGCATGGTCCTTGGTTGATGCATCAGCCTCTGCTTGCCCCTCTGGGCCCAGTAATGACCTAGGAGAGAGTCCTTGTCCTTATGATTCACAAATGAGACAATGTTCAAAAGGATAAAAGAACAATTCAAAAGCATATAGCTAGCAAGTGACAGAGACAACATTTAAACCCAACATGTGAGTATCCCAGGCCCAAGGTGTGTCACTAATATTCTCCAATGAGTTGTGCTATTTGTACACATGTTGTGCAAGTTTAAAGGGCATGTTTAACAAAAATGAATGTTCAGAAAGTCCAAATATTTCATAATCAGACAAAGCAGTTGATACTACTTTAATGGGTCAAAATGAGAGCCATTACCTCAATTTGGTAAAAAAAAAAAAAAAAAAAAAAACACCACATGAAGTTCTTATAAAATATACAGCTGAAGCCTCTTCTTGGTAATTTCTTTATGGTTATATAAAAATTAAAAAAAATAACTTTGACATTCAGATATAAAAACACTCCCCATACTAATTATCAATAATGATTTTAAACAGCCAGTTAAGACTTTTAGAATTGGCTGGGTCTGCTCCAAAAAGCTTTGCTAATGGTAAATGACATCTAGTTCCATCACATGTCAGTCATATTATTTTCTTTAGAAAATACTTATTTTTATGGGTATGAGGGCCTGCCTGTATGCATGTGCACTGTGTGCATGCAATACCCAGAGAGACCAAAAGAGGGCACTAGAACCCCTAGAGCTGGTTGTGAGCTGCCACGTGGTGCTGGGTAGTTAACCCAGGTCCTCTGCAATAGCAGAAAATGAGCTCAACCACTGAGCCATCCTTCTAGGCCGTGTTATTTTCAAAGCATGGAAAATGCTGAAGTAGCAAATGTGTGAGATGATCGCATACTCAACTCCTAGCACGTGTACACCTCAGGGGTCCACCGTTCAGGAGCCCAAGGAAGCGGAGACGCAAAGGCCTGTGTACACCAACCATGTATTCAGGAGCTAGAGAAGTATTCTGCCCACTCAGTTACAGACGCCGTGAACACTGGGGACACAGAACCCTTGAGGCCACTCTGCTCTTACCTCCCTCTTCCCCTGATATTCTGTTGGCTCAGGTGGCTCAAACTAAGACAACACAATTTAGCAACCCTCTGGGGCAGCATTCACTTAAAGGCCTTTCACAGCCTGCCACGGCTCTCGGGTCCTACAAGTGGAGAGCCCAAAAGAGGACAAAGCAAATGCAACAAGGGAGCGAACAGCCAGGAAGTCGCACAGGGGTCAAGAAGTGTCAGGGGCGAGGGGGGGGCAGAAGGCAGAGTCTCTCCTATCCATTGTGTAGGACAAATCAAAAGCAAAGTACAGAGAGAGAGGCTCTGCTGTGCACACATGTTCATATACTTGAACGGCTTAGCACTGTGAAGACAACTTTTTGCTATGTTACTCAATACTGCTGTGTTTTGCAGAAACATATTACAAATGAAACCCAAGAAAACATCCTTTTATATATTATATTTTGCCAGTGATGCATACAAAGACAAAATAATAATATATGTTCTGTAACTGGTAGGAGCTAGATCTTCGTTTCTCAGTACAGACCCCATTGCTTTGTACAGAGCTCTTGGAAACGACGCATCTCTCGGAATGCGAGATGCCATGCCAGTTCTAAGGCCGCGCTGGGGCGGTGAGCACACGCGCAGGCATGCTGAGGGTGGGAAGCTCGGGGCTCTGAGTCTCGGAGATGCGCCTTATTAGCCTTGCTGGGGAGCTAATAAATCTCCAGTCCACAGGCCTGCCGCCTGCCACCTGCGTCCTTACCTTTGACATGGGGGAGGAAGTGGTGTCGGAAGGGGGGGTTAGGACGGGAGTCGCTGTGCGAGCAGCTGAAGCTGCTGGTTCGTAGGGGGGACCACCTGTGTGCACCAGGACACAAAAGCTCTGTGCGGCAGGGACCAACCAACCAGGGCAGGGTGAGGTTGAAACAGAAAAGAAGAAAGAAATTAACACAGGGCAAAGCAGGTGCCCAGAGTGGGAGGAAGTGAGCGTTAATCAGGAATCTGAAAAAGGAGGAAGGAAAGCGGGTTAGGGAGGGCCCTGTGGAGGGCAGAGGGCAGAGTCCGAAGTCCAGCTCAGGCGGGTCGAGTCACAAGAATAAATGGCTTGTTGAACACAGTCTCTGGGACACTGGCATGATGACACCAACTACCCAGTGCCAGGGCTGAGCACACCACACATACTCAGCAGCTGCTTTGAAAGCAAATTCAACAAGACAGCCGTTGGAAACTGGTGTAAACAGAGGGCAGTCATTTCATGAAACTTGAAGAAACATAGTTCTATGTAAGGGTCATGTTTTGTTTTGTTTTAAGATGTGGGCTTATCTCACTGGAAACTCTATTTTATTTCCTATTCCTTATGCATAAAGAAATCTGCTCCTTTAGCTGGGCGGGCAGAGTTAGGCAGGGTGCTGCCAGTGCTGGGGTCTGAGGTGGAAATCCGGTAGCTCACAGGGAGATTGGACCATCAAAGCTCAACCCAGACTTGGGAAATTAGAATATCAGCCGGCACACAGAATTTGTAGGGTGGACACCACAAGGATTGGATTGGTTGCCCTTTTAGGCTTCAAAAATATCTCAGTGTCACTGCCTGGTGTCTTGTACATGTGTGTTAGGCTGGAAGAGGAGATGGAGAATGTTCTGGAGGTTGTGGTGTCTACAGCTGAAGAGGCAAAGCTTTCTCCTGCTCAGAATAGACAAGGGTTTTTAAAACCCTTGTGGCTGGGTGGCCATCCCCTCGATATTCAAGATGCTCTCAAAGGACAATTTCCCTGTGGCCACATGCCACGCTGACAATGTCAGGGCAGGGTTTAGTAGTCTCAGCATATGTCGCAGGTACATTAGCACCAAAACCATTTCAAATTACCAGAAGATGAAATACAAACTCATGGCCAGGTGCAAATAAAATGACTATAGCTACATACTGAAAAAGAGTATCCTGAAAACATCCATTTAACATCATATGATAAATATTAAAAAGTGTGTTTAAGTCTAGTTGTGTGTGGGATGCTGAGAGCTGACCTCAGGGTCTCGTACATGCTAAGTATCCAGTCTAGCGTGAGCCACCTCCCCCGCCTTGTCCGGAGAAACCAATTAATGGGGGATCCAGGAGTGGTCAGTCCTCTGGGTGAGGTAAGCCTGTGACCTTGAACAGGAGACAGCCTCAGCCTTTCTGTGCTCTGATTGTTCCTGTTGGTTTTAATTCTTATACATTTTGTTTGTAGCCTGGCCAGGAGGAAGCTTAAAGTGGAACCTTCTGGATGTATAGCATCCTAAGTTCTCTTTGAGGCTTCTCCACAACCCCGCAGCCCACAGCAGTCTGGATCTGTGCTGGGCCCCCGCTCCCTGTCCCACCACATCCACTCACGCCGCAGACACCAAGGCCGCTAACGCTCAGAGCACAGCAATGTCTGCTGCCCCAGGCTGGCTACTCATGCCCGAGACCTTTAGGTTTTCCAGGTCTGCTCTGGGGGTCTGAAGCAGTCTCAGGCCTCTCACTGTGAGCCTGTAGCCTGGACAGGGCTTTAAACTTTCCAACCAGTGGCTAACATTGGACTTTAGGTGATACGAATAACACAATAAGCGTAGCATTTTCTCTCAGAGACCTCTGTTTTAGGTGTCGTAGGAATGAGATTTTCATCAGTTCTTTACATGCAGGTCAACAGCCAAGTGTAATTTACGAACTTACAGCAAACACAGTGAGGAAGTGACTGACTTTTTAAGGACGTACTAGAAAATAAAGATGGCCGCCAGTTTTCGCTCTGTTCTTTGAGAGGGATAGAACTGTTTAATAGTCAGGCTCTCTCAACGTGAAGGCCATCCCACAGACACACATTCACTGTGGAGAGCAGATCTGAGAAGAGCAGTCCTTACCGGGGCGGTGGAAATGCTGGGGTGAGCGGGACGTGGTCGGGGCGTAGCTGTGGCGGCTGTACACCGGGGAACTGATGGAGCCCTGGCTGGTGGACCTGTGGATCATCCGATCCCGGACATCCTGGCAGCCCTGCAACGGCACCAGGAAACGCGTGAGTCCAAAACACCTTGCAACTCGTGACATCTCTAAGTTAAGCCCAGCCCAGCAGCTTGGAGAAGTGCCATCCTAGGCGTCTTCAGTAAATATTCACGTGCATGGATATTCCAAGGTTAATTATGTTTTGCTCACAGTCATCAGTCATTGTAGTTATTAAAATTTAAGGTATAAAATCTGTAATTGCCAACAGTGCTAGGTCAGGACTAGAGAGAGGACAGCTCCCACAATCACCAGTGCTATGACTTTAGGCTTTTCTGTGTCCCCCACATCAGATCCCAGGGTACTAAGTCTTCACTGTCACCTTGATGGACTTAGAATCACCGTGGAAAACACATTTCTGGATGTGTCGATATTTGTAGGAAGAAGGAAAGGGATGTGGGCGGCTCCATTCCGTGGGTAGGGAGCTGAGCACCAGGCTTCATCTCTCTGCGTTTTCACGGAGGCTGTCGTGTGACCAGCTGCGCCATGGCCCTCTCTCTCCATGATGGTGCAACAAGGGTCCCAGCTGGCCACGTGTCTGGCACGCGGCAGGAGCCCGTGGCTCTTGCTTCAGGAGCACTGCCTGACACGAAGCTCTTGTGTGGACACTAGCCACAAGACTAAGACTGTTCTGGGGGCAGCTCAAGCTCCAGAAGAAGCTGGTGGCTGCCTGAGATCACTAACTACTTCTCAGCCCGGGAAACAGTCCAAGGAAATAATTCTAAGTGACCTTTGTGATACCTCAAGGGAAAACTTATGTTACATGTTCAGCAAGTGGGAGAAGAATGAGAAAACAGAGCCCATCACTTTCCTCTAACATAACACTGCCACTGGGATGTCACCTAGGTCCAAACTCAGAAGAGGATGTCTATGGCAACAGGCCCTGGGTTTGATCCCCAGCATTGCATAAAACAAGTGTGGTGCATGCCTGTAACCCCAGCATTCAGGAGATGGGTCATTCTCCACCACATAGTGAGCTTGAGCCTGTCTGGAATCTATAAGAGGCTTTTCAAAAACAAACAACCCCCCAATCTCCAAAACAAACAAATAAACTACCCCGAAAGCTGTGCATATTTGGATCAGTCCAGAAGGGGAGACGCCCTCCTCCACACACAGTGCTTCAGTTTAGAGATTTTAGTGTAATGACCTCCAGCCACTTTGGGCATTGTAGCGTTAGTGTCTGTATCTATCGCCTAAATGCAGACAGTCAGGCGCCAGGGACCCACACTGGACAAGGCCTCAAGTCCTGCAGACAGATCCTGCTGTTGTTCCTACTGTGGTGCAGGCCTGGCTCAGCAGCAGGCCTGGCTCGGGAGCAGGCCGCTTTTACTCTCTTGCCCCCTTGAAAGTGTGCTGCCGCCCTATGGCCCTGGCTCATGGGTACAGTGACTCTCACAAGTGTCATAATCAGTTTTGCTGTCCCTTAGTACATACATACTTTGCAAGTACAAACAAGACCTAAGGCCCTCCCAATCCACCCGTGAGTCTGGACAAAGGGTACTTACTTCTGCAGATGGAGTGGGAGACAAAGTCCTCGGAGACTGGAAGAACAAGAGAGAATTTAAAGTCAGCAGCCACTCCCTGCCCGTTTGGAGGACACTAAAATCATCACCCCAAACATACAGTCAGCATCAGCTGCTGGTTTATTTGGAGGACAGAGGGCTGATGGGAAATTCCAGCAAGGTTCCCAGGAGACTGGGAACCGCCCCAGGAACCACGGCTTTAATGAACATGTCGTGGGGCTGTTGGAACCACTCTCCTTGCATGTCTAACCATGTTTCTGCTACAGCTGTCAGGACAGCCAAGGGGACACAGGATTCTGTTCCCATGGCGTTTAACTAACGCACAGTCGCAGCTGTTACTGTAAGGTACTTCTGCAGGTCTGCGATGGCCCCTCACACCACATGCCCTCCGGTGTCTGTTGTTTGGGGTCGACAGGCTTCCCTTGTCATCAGCAGGTGTCGCCCCAGGACCTTTGCACTGGCATCTCTTCTGCCACCAGCACTGCTAAGACAGCTGTAGTGCTCACTCCAGCCAAGTCTGAGCTCAGACTCACCTCACACTTCCGCTAATCCCATGTTCACGCTTTCCTCCATTGCAGTAACTTACCGCCTTGCCCCATTCACACTTCCTTTCACACCTTCCGTGCTTCCCCTTGGTCAGGCTCCCCTTCATCACACTAACTTCCTGGGAACCGCCTGCCCATGCTCTCCCTCATCACACTGACTTCCTGTGACCCCATTCACACGTTTCTTCATTGCAATCACGTCCTGCGATTTCTTCAGAACCTCCTGACACGTCTCGTCATGTCTGCATCTTTGCTGACTGGCTCCTGTTTGATTCTGTTTGCAGCCCTGTGTTCCCAGTGACAAGGGTGTATGGTCAAGCACTATTTGGGGGACTCAAGGGCTATTTTTGGAGTGAGTAAAATGTTTACAACCAAATACAAAGGCCTTCAGTTAGAACTATAAGCAGAACTTCAGAGGACTTGGCCTGAGCAAGGGGTGGGGTGGCCAGCGCCCTGCCGTTAGGATTTGTTCCTTTCCCACGCTATGGGGAGGCTGACAGGCCCACTCACAAGCTTCCCTTGGTCTCAGGGGCTGTACCCTCCCCCGCAGGGCTCAAAGCTTTGATGGACAAGGATGGCCGCGCTGGGAGCAAAAGCTGCTCTTGACCTTGCCAGTGGTGGGCTCTCTGACCCCTCTCACATACCTCCCAAACGTGCCAATAATGACATCCCAATTTAAGGTTACTTGGTGTGTGAGTAGGCCAGAGGTCAATGTCAAGTGTCTTCTTCAATTGCTTTAGTTTTTGAGAGAGTTCTCTCATGGGCCCTGCAAGCTCACTGACCCACACTGCTGGACAGAGACCAGGAACCCTCCTGCCTCCCAGCTCCAGGATAACAGGCACCTGCTGCCAAACTTGCCATTTCCATGTGAGTTCTGGGAATCAAGCTCAGTCCTCATGCTTGTGGCAGCGCTCACCAACTGAGCCTCCTCCCCATCCCTCTGTGTCTTTAGAATAATGCATGGCTTTACAAAATGGGTGTAACAACTAATGGAATAAATGATAGGATAGCTTGCAGCGATTGTTCAGTGGCAAGATGCATGCAGCCAAAGGGGGTTTATTAATATATCTGATTTCTGCCCCAAAGGGGCATCCTCTGTGCACACAGAAAGCCACAGGCTGGTAGTTTACAGAGCAGACTGAGAACTTGTGGGAAGGAGGCTTTTGTCAGATGCCAAGTATCGATCTAATCTAACATGACAAGTTTACTTTCCAAAGTCCCGATTCAGTGTCAATTCCAAGATGAATGTCTGCTTGACGTTTGGCTGCTCCAGAGGGAGCTAGTAGAAAAACAAAACAACAACAACACACACACACACACACACACACACACACACACACACACACCACCCGAGAAAGGCATGAGCAAGTGCACCTAGAACACATGCGCCCTTAAAACCATAATAAATAAATAAACAAGCAACAATGTTCATTTGCATATAGACATCTTGAACTTCAGGAAATCCCGACCACTGACCACCAGTCTTTATGTTCCTTGTTCAGGAAGCTTTCTTGACCCTTGAAATTCAATCAATTGGCAGTACAGCACATAACCACCAGATGGCACTATGGGAAAATGCATGTTCCTTGCCAAGCTGGGGACCTGAAAGCAGGACATGCTTCAGAATAAAACCCAGATTAGAAACAAGCAAGTGGGAGGAATATTATAAATTATGAATACATAGGATCCTTAAAAAACAATAAATACCAGTGTGTATTCTTGGGAATACATCAATCCAGCCACCACATTTTCATGGCTTTTGGGGGAAGAGGCTTTGAGACAGGATTTCCCACCATCCTCCTGCTCAGTGTCCCAAAGTCCAGGAGGATGCACTGACCTTTTGCTCATCTCCTGCAAGTCTGGGATGCTATGAGCTACAACCTGCTCTCACTCTGGCTGAAGGGCCAGGTTAAGTCTACTGCATGGTGATCTCTCTCTGAACGGAGTCCAGTCAAACTGTAGGTGACTCTGAACAAGCTGCTGCAGCAGCGTGAGTGGCATGCTGCGGTAAAGCACGTGCCTGCTAGTCTGCTGGTCAAGCTTCCAGGGTCAAGCCACAATAACAATAAAAGCAAGCAAAGGACATAGGTGTGGTATCAAAGCCCTTTAACCTAAGCAGGCAGATCTCGTGAGTTTGAGGCCAGCCTGTTCTACAAAGTGAGTTCCAGACAGCCAGGGCTACACAGAGAAACCCCGTCTTGAAAAACCAACCAACCAACCAACCAACCAACCAACCAACCAACCAATAAATAATGGGGAAATTAGGATAAACGGAAGAAGCCAATGAGCAGGGTGGGTGGTGGCAGGGGTCCCTTTCCGTGCCTCTCTGCTGAGAGGCTCTGGCCTAGGAGGGCAGGCCTGCTGGCTGGGCAGTAATAAGCTTCAGAAGGGGCCACAGCAGTGGTCACGGCCATGCTGTGCCCCTGCGCTCTTTGCTGTTCAGTTTCTTTAACTGAACGTAAATACATGTAAATACCTATGGGAAGCCGGCTGTCATTATTCTGTCTTCCTGATGAAGAAACCAGGGTCATGCGGAAACCAGGATCACAGTGGCTTTCACATGTCAGTAGTGTTATCTTAGGCTGAACCCTAGTAGCTGATTCTAGAACCTAGTAGCTAATTGTAGGAACCCTAGCTATCCCTTATCCACACTGTCTCCCTTCCCACACCCCTCCATTAAGATGTGGGAAACTGGAGCCATGGAAATTTGAGGGTGTGGTCTCATCTCTCATGATCCCTAAGAATGTACTTCCAGCTAATCTCAAGGCCAACATAACCCATGACCTCCTTCCCTTAACACCCCCCTCCCACACACACGCCCTCAGGTCCCATCCCAGCATGGCTACTGTTCCATACCTAACTTATCCTTCACTGTCTTAATATGCAATCAGCTAATCTCCTACCTTGCTACACCCAAGTTTAGGACCAGGGTCATGGGTTGGTTCTGAATTCCTCAGCGTACCAGAAACCTCCAGAGGATAGGCAAGGTCTGACCTAGCTTGACCCCAAACAGACGTCCTTACACAGGTGAGTGGGAAGGGTGCAGTTGGAAGGCCGTGCTGTTTGCAAGCCCTGGGAACCCATTACCTCTCCAAGGCTCTGTCTCTCCTGCTTGTCCTCATAGCCTGATGTGTAGAAAGGCTCGTATGTAATGAGATCTGGGCGTTCAATGTCATAGATTGCCTTGACCTTGGGGATGGCTGCTAAATCCTTGTAATCCAGGATCTCATTGTCAACTTTTGCCTGGCAGAGTTAAAGGGAGAGAAAAGTCAATCTTCTATCACAGCTTGTGGAGAAATTATCCCTGGAGCCATTTATGCCTTCCTTGTGTAAAATGTGATCCTTAAACCAAAATGCCTTACTGAGTAATGTCATACCCTTTAGGAAGTTGCCTATTGATGTATCTATTAATCACACTTAAAAAACAAAAAACAAAAAACAGGAAAGGCTTAGGAAAGGGTGTGTGTAGAATTCAGTGAATAGAGAAATATGTCAACCTTCAGAACAGTTTCTTAATATAGAGAGGAAAAAAAATCTCAAATAAATGGTTAATAAATCTTTGTAGATAGCTAAACACAAGTACTGCCTGTTGAATAAACTAAATATTAAATATATTTTTGGCAGAATTTAATAACACTTGCAGCAGCATTATAAAATGTGCAATTAATTCCCAAATATCTATATACATGTTAGATGTGATGGCCTTCTAAGCCCTAAGTGACTCACGTCAGGTCATCTTTTTCTCTGATGGTCACAGATGGAATTATTACAGGAAGCATGCCTGAAGAGGTCAGAATGGCAAAGGGAAATCGGGACCTTCTAACAGGACCAGAGACCTCTGTGGAGCACCTCCCTTTCTGGGACTCTCTATCTGGCTATTCCAGTCGCCAACTGCCCTGCTCCCCAAAGTGGCCCTTCGGGAAGCGGTACTTACGTAGATGGTGTGGCCTGGCGAGCCAGGGATGCTGGAGCCTGGTCTAGAGTAAATACTCTCAGAGGAGGTCCTGGTGGGCTAGAAAACACACAAGCAACTGTCAGACTCCTGCCATGCTCTTCAGAGTCTAGACTGGCCCAGGCAGCCCAAGCTCCACAGAAAGCTCAACCAGCTAAGGAGAGGCCTGTGAGTGTGTGAGTGTGGTGTCAGAGGGAGATATACACTTGAAGGGAAGGGCCAGGGCTTTCATGGTCCTTCCTCTTCTGTGTCTCTTAAAGGATCTGGGCCTTGAACTTGGAGTGTATCTTGATGCTGTGCACTTCCACCCAGCTCCATGGCCAGCTGAGCACCCAGCTCTGCTCCTCAGAACCATGGCAGTGCACAGCCTTGCCCTCCGTGGGCTCCCTGCTCTCACCTCTGCCTTTCTCACACTTACTTGACACTGGGGGGAGGGAGGGGCTGTTATTTCAAAAGAGAAACCTTTGAAGAACCTGATTCCTCTTCAAGTGCTGCTTTTGCCTATAGGGCCAATTTAGTGTAACTGTGGATCCCAACCTTCTTCTCCTGCCCTGTCAGCCATCACCTGCCCTCACTCACAGAACAAGCTTGTGTCCCTACCTCAAGGCTTTTATCCTGGCTGCTGTACTGCCTGGCCCACTCTCACCACCAGTTTCTCTTGGTTGGCTCTTTATTACTTCCTTCAATCTTAACTTAAACTCGACTCCTCACAGGCTCCACTTCTTCCTCAGTCCACAGGCCACTGTGCTTGCTGTGCTCTCTCCTAGCCAGCCCTAATTTTTCCTTCCTGCACAAACTCCCGATGAGATATTTGCTGACTTCCTCACATTGTGTCTACTCTCTTGTAAACATTGCCCTGGTTTTCCTGTTATTAGAGGAACAGTACACAGAGGTGGAAAAGCTTGGAGGAAAGAATGAGCAATCATTTATTTGTAAGCAAATGTTCAGGTTTATTACACAGCTTACGCCTAACCAGAGCCCCTGGGAAGATGGAAGAGGGGGGCACAGGACAGGAAGGTGAGGTATGAACTTGACTGGCCTTCACCTCTGCTTGGCATGCTCTGGAAAACTCTCTAGAGAAAGCAAGGCCCTCCCTCGTGAGAGTGCTGCTCTTGTCTGTGCAGCTACTTCCTGAAGGGTAGAATCTACAAAGCTAAAAGCTTCCGTTCCCCTCTGAAGCAGGCGTTTCTGCTCGGTACGCTGAACGTGGCAGGAAGCAGCCAGAGCTTGTGCACGCCGGGCACCACAAAGGCAACCTGGCCTGCAGCGGTCACTCACTGTGAACGGCAGGGCCTGTGGAAACTGCTCGGCTACACTCCAGCCAGTGGCCTGGGACTTGTGCAATGGCTGGGTGGAGGTGGTGGGAGAATGACACATCCTGGAGGAGGTGTGCCTCTCCCCAGCCCGTCTTACACCCAGCTCTCCTTTAACTGTGATTAGAGTGACAGCTTTCCAGGAGCAATAATCCCTTACCCCTGACACTGCTCAAATATGTCCAGTTCCAAGGCCCTGCTTCCTGGCCCAAACACAGACCTGGCACAAGCAAAACACAAGGCCACTTTAAAGAAAGAGAAGTTGTCCCTTCAAAGTGTTGAACACAGTAATGAACACATGAAGTGTGTGTGTGTGTGTGTGTGTGTGTGTGTGTGTACATATGGAGGCCAGAGGACAGCCTTGGCGTCATCCTCGGGAATACCTTCCCTGACACGGGTCTCTTGTTGGCCTCCAGCTCACACAGTCAGGCTCAGCTGGCTGCGAAAGCCCACCAACCGTCCTGAATGTAGGCTCACAAGCGTGTCCCACCTCGACAGGCCCTCTTATGCTGCTTCAGGATGGAGCTCAAATCCTCAGGAGCGTGAGGAAGGTGTTTCACTGACTGTGCCAGCACTCCAGACCCCGAAGGAAATGCCAAGTAGCCACACAAGGACAGCAACTGTGTCCCAGTCTTACCCGCACTAATCTACCCAATGACCCAGTGGCACATGTCCCCACTTTATGCGTGTGCCAACCCACTGAGGTAGGAGGGGGCAGGAATTAGCCTTCACCTCCACAGGTCCCGGGTCCAAGGACAGAAGCCCCGAACTGCATTCCCATCCATGAAGCTGTGGGAGGGAGGGTGTGCAAGCAGCAGAAACACACTGAGGTCAGGGCAGAAATACAGTGCATGAGAACTGCAAATACTCTTAAAACAAAATCAAAGTGTTTTACCACGTAGGCCAGCATGGCCCAAACTTGTAATTCCTTTAGTTTGGCCCCCAAGTGCTAGGATTACAGTCACGACCCCCAAGCCTGTGCCCTGGATACACTCTCACTGTAACAACCTCACAGGAGCCCTGGCTGGGGGGGCGGGGGAGCTGGAGAGCAGAAGGTGGCGGCTTTCAGCTGCTGGGACGACTGTGCTCATTAGCGAGCATCTGGGACACGCAGCACACTGGCCCTGGCGCTTTGGGCTGTGTCTGACATTGTTCCGAGGGTAGGTCAGCAAGGTCTGTATTCCCAGAACATCCCGGGGCTGGCTCTTGTACTGCCTGGCAGATGGGAACAGAGCTGAAGACCAGTCTGAGCACGCTGGGAAGGGCCCTCGGGCTCTCTTTGGTGGACAGATTCTGCAGACAGACTGGTCTCCTGAGCCTGACCCAGGGCCACAGGCCTGCAATCCCACACACTCTTAAGTTCAGGACCTGCGCAAGTATGGTCACAGAGCAAGTTCAAGGCCAGCCTGGACAACGTAATGAAACCCAGCCTCAAAATGAAACTCCAGAGGAGGCTGGCTGTACAGCTCAGCAGAGCGCTTGCCAGATATGCACAAAACTCAGTCCCAGTTCCTAGGACAAGGACTGTGAGAAACAAAACAAACAAGCAAAACCAGGATGGGCCTCCTGGCTGGCCTGTCGCACCTCAGCTGCTTCCCTCCCTCCCTGTCTCCCTGACAGGACTCTCCAAAGCCTTTATCTCCTGCTATCTGTACCATAAATACTGTTTGGATAAAGGCTTGAGGTGTTATTCAACACTTTGGACTTTTGTCAAATCCCATCCGATGCTCTCTGGCTCTAAGCGACCTCTGCTTATTAGAGGCTTACCACAGTTCTCTCATGTACTCCTGTTTTGATAACCAAACCATTTCCAAAGGCAAATCAACTGGTCACCAAACCTGCCAGGGCTCAGTCAGACTTCCTTGACACCTGACCCTTTAGACTCTCGTTATTTGGGAGTACTCCAGGCAAGCTGACATTCATAAAGTCTTCTGTGGAACTCATCATTTGCCACAGGACCACTCTGCTCCGTTCTACCCACCTGCCGTGCCCCTCTTCTGAAGGTAGGCTGTATCCCTGCTTATCCTTTTCCATGAAAACCCTCCTTTGCCTTGCTAGCTACATTTGGACAAAACACAGCTGTGTGTAACATACTACGGTTAAAGTCTGCTTTTGGAATCAAGTCACTCTCTTTGAATCCTGGTGATAGGAGTTTTCTTTTTCAAAACTTTGGGCTTCAACTTTCTACTTATAAACTGGGGAGGCTAAACTCCCATCAACTAAGTCTCCAGGGCTGAATGAGAGGGTCAGCATGCAGCTCCAGCATGTGCCCCTGGTTTCCTACGAGAGGCAGTGGTATCCGAGTCCTGCATACCCTGAGAATTCTCTTTTCACATGTGAGATGAATGGATCAGGCTATCTGTAATCCGCTGCAGCTACGGAACTTGCACTCATATGTGTCCATGTTCTCATCGGCGATTTGTTACACCGATGGCCCATTCCTGCCTGGAGTTGTCTCTTCCTTGAGGACTCTGGGCAAGGATGCCAGTCCCTTCCCACACAGTGACTTTTACCTGAGGTTCATCCCAGCATTTAACACCAGTTCCTTCCCATGACCGAAGCAGTGGCCCAGCCCTGGCCTAGCCTGGCTGCCTTATGGTTGGTTCTGGGTTTGCTGCTCCTTGGGCTCTGCTCGAAGCTTAAACAGCACAGGTTTTTGCCATGGCTCCTAATGGCTTTCTGGGAAGATTAGCTCAACCCATGGAGATTAGAAAGTGGTGGTGGGGGGTGAGGGTGTGTGTGTGGGGGTGGGTATGTGTGTGGGGGTGGGGGGTACGTGTGTGGGGGTGGGGGTGTGTGGGGGTGGGTGGGTGTGTGGGTGTGGGTGTGAGTGTCAGTGGGTGTGCGTGGATGTGTGGGTGTGTGGGTGTGGGGGGGTGTGGGTGTGGGTGTGGGTTCTGTTTTCTTGAGACAGGGTTTCTCTGTGTATCCCTGGCTGTCCTGGAACTTGAGTTGTAGACCAGGCTGGCCTCGAACTCACAGAGATGCACCTACCTCTGCCTCCCGAGTGCTGGGATCAAAGGTGTGTGCCACTGTGACTGGCCCTAGAAAAGTTCTCTTTTAAGAAGTTAAAATTACTTTTAAAAACTGAACAATTATCCTTGGAGTTTTGATCCTAACTGTTAATAACCTATTTTATTTTATTATTTTATCTTAATTTCTGGTCTTGGGACTGAAGTAACAGCCTCACGCCTCACTCTAGGCAAGCCCCCCCCCCCCCGAACCTCTTCTATCGTATGTTTTGAGAAGGAGCCTAAGTTGACGGCCGTGAACATGTCTGTAACCCTGGAAGAGACTCTAGCCAGCTCTGGCGAGCACTGCTCTTCTCTCCCATCTGCTCTGTCTTGCTTTAGGATCCATTAGGCTACAAGGTTTTTAGCGAGCCCTCAAGGTCTGACTGCTTATTTAGCCACTTCCTCCACCTCAAACTGACTACCACGGTCCAGCCTTCAAAGTATTGAAGCCCAACAAGGGAAAGGCCCCTTTGGCTCACCTAATTAACATGACCAATTAAATTAAACACCTCATCCTAGTTAGGGCCCTGCCTGCCCCAGGGTGTGGCTAGCATACCCTGCCCCTCACCTCAGCATGGGGCTTCCCCTTTCCCGGAGGCCCTTAACTATATAAGCCAGACATTTTGGCTCCTCTGGCCTTTCTCTCTTTCTCTCTCTCTCCTTCCCCCTTCTCTCTTCCTTCCCTCTTCCCCCCTCTCTTCTGCTCTCCTCTCATTCTGTATCTCTCTTCTCT